TCATAGTGGTTTCAGGGCAGCAGCTGCACAGGGCAGACCAGGGCTGAGTTTTAGCAGCTTATTTAGACAAGAGAAGCCAGAAAGCTGCACAAGGAAAAAGGAGCACCAGAACTAGCCCAGCAAGACTTTTTTTTTTTTTTTAAGATTTTATTTATTTAATTGACAGAGACACAGCGAGAGAGGGAACACAAGCAGGGAGAGTGGGAGAGGGAGAAGCAGACTCCCCGCCGAGCAGGGAGCCCGATGTGGGGCTCGATCCCGGGACCCTGGGACCATGACCTGAGCCGAAGGCAGACGCTTAACGACTGAGCGACCCGGCGCCCGCCCAGCAGGATTTGTAAGGTAAACATTATTGAAGCACAACATACATACAGATATGTCTCAAATGGTGAGTATGCACACAGATGAGTTTTCACAAAGTAATAATGTCTAATTTGTGGGTAATCTTGTTATCAATAGCTTCTAGACCAGGAAGGTATGATGGAAATTTAAAGCATTCTGAGGGTTAGAAGGATGTAAATGTATTATCTTCATGAATTATGAACTTAAATGTGCATGTTTCTATTTCTCAAGTGACCACTAAAAGAGGAGAAGAGTATGATTCCCATACAAGTAGAGGAAAACAAATGAAACATGAAAAGAGAAAGAAAACACAGAAAGTATAAAATAAACTGATAAAAAAAAACTACTACTGGGGGTGCCTGGGTGGCTCAGTGGGTTAAGCATCTGCCTTCAGCTCAGGTCATGATCCCAGGGTCCTGGGATCCAGCCCTGCGTCAGGCTCCCTGCTCAGCGGGGAATCTCCTTCTCCCTCTGCCTGCCCCTCCCCCTGCTTGGGAGCAGGCGCTCTCTCTCTGTTAAATAAATAAAATCTTTTTTTTTTAAAGACTTTGTTTATTTATTTGACAGAGAGAGAGAGAAAGAACAAATAGGCAGAGAGGCAGGCAGAGGGAGAGGGAGAAGCAGGCTCCCCGCTGAGCAGGGAGCCCTACACAGGGCTCGATCCCAGGACCCTGGGATCATGACCTGAGCCGAAGGCAGCCGCTTAACCGGCTGAGCCACCCAGGTGCCCCAAATAAATAAAATCTTAAAAAAAAATACTGGTACTAATATTGCAAATCAACTAATACAAAATAACTACAGTCTGTAGTTAAAAGACAAAGACTGTTGGACTGTATTTTTTTTTAACATTTAAAAAAATTTTTTAGGAGAGGGTGACAGAGAGTGCATAAGTGGGGGGGAGGGGAAGGGGCAGAGGCAGAGAGAGAGAGGCAGGCTCCCCACTGAGCAGGGAACCTGACACAGGACTCGATCCCAGGACCCCAGAATCATGACCTGAGCCAAAGGCAGACGCTTAACCAACTGAACCACCCAGGTGCCCTTGTTGGACTGTATTTAAAGCAATAAGAACCACTTATGCTGCTTCTAGGGACACATCTGAAATATAAAATTGACACCCATGGAAAGGAGTGTGCAAGACAAACCACATTAACAATAGACTGTGGGCAGAGGTGTAAAGAAGAACACAGCAGACTGACAAAATGTTCAATTTACAGGGAAGAGCTAGGCTTCCCTGTACTATAGGAAGAGTTCTAAACTTGTAGGCAATTAATAATTGCTTCAAAATACATAAAGTAAAAATGACAGAACTACAAGGAGAAATTGACAAATGCCTAGTCTGAGTGATGTCTCCCAGGGAGCTATTTCATGGGAATCAGTGGGCTGAGGGTCTTGAGGACAGGGGGTGTCTGGGCAGAAGAGAGATTGGGGTATCAGTTGCTAGACGAGTATCTGGGAAAAGGAAGTGTGGGGCATGCTACTGCTTATTAGCTTCATAAGTACCAAGGAACTTTATCCTGATTTAACACTTCAAATTAGAATAGGGGTTTGAACAAGGTCTACATGTTGCATTTAATGGAAATGTATCTTAAATCTGTTAATCCATAACAATTTCCCTTTCCTCTTTTTAAAAAATTCTTTCCCATTTATTTTTTGGGAAAAAACAGTCATTTGCCCTATTAAGAGGATTTGAATGACTACATCCCTACTATATCTTGTAATATGTTCCTCTTTCCCCTGTGTTTTCTATACACTGGTAGTTACATTCAGAAACTTGATTAGATCAGTTTTGTTTCTCATCAAGAATGCTCTGTCCGCGGCACTCTGCAAGATTCTATTGCTTCACACCAGGAGGCACTTAATACCTCTTGGTAAAGTTAGGGTCACTCATGGGTTCTGAGGGTCAGATGAATCCTCCATTATGTTCATCAATCTCCCACCTATAGGCTTTCACTACCACTAAGACATTGCCAATGATTTCTTCTGCATTTATTAGATGGAATTCTATACATAACTTTCTTTCACCAATCTGTTTATCCTGAAATACAGTTCATAGGGGAAAGTCAGAATGGATGTGATTCTTCATTTACCAATTTTTAATTTTTTTTAAAGATTTTATTTATTTATCAGAGAGAGAGACAGAGGCAGGCAGAGGGAGAAGCAGGCTCAAGGAGCCCGATGTGAGACTCGATCCCAGGACCCTGGGATCATGACCTGAGCTGAAGGCAGACACTTAACCAACTGAGCCACCCAGGCATCCCTTCATTTACCAGTTTTTAGAATAATAGATTGCTATAGCAGCAACCTTCAAGATGACTAATGGAGTGGGTTTTTATAATATTTTAAACTTATGCATTTTATATATTTGGTATGTTTCTATTCAGGACAGCCATTATTCTTTTTGATGCTGAAATTGTTGACTTTTTGGCCATTCAGAGCCCTTCACTTTTGTCACACTGTCCCTCTGGTAGGTCTCTTTCTGGGAGGAACCTTGCTTTCTGGCACAAGATATCCTGAACTCATTTTGTATTATTTCCTTCCCCAAATTTCAAAGGAGCCCTACTTCCTTTTAAAGAGAAATGGTGAGGGGCACCTGGGTGGCTCAGATGGTTAAGCATCTGCCTTTGGCTCAGGTCATGATCCCAGGGTCCTGGGATCGAGCCCCACATCGGGCTCCCTGCTTGGCCGGGAGCCTGCTTCTCCCTCTCCCTCTACTGTTCCCCCTGCTTGTGTTCTTGCTCTGTCAAATAAATAAATAAAATCTTTTAAAAAATAAATAAATGAAGAGAAATGGTGAACTCTCCCAAGAGTGTTTGTGTTTACTGCTGGGAGGGGCCTAGGAGCACTGTCCACCCAGGACCAGAACATTTCAACTAAAGTTTCACGGTGGGAGGTGGTCGCCAAAGCATACAGAACCCCAAATACAGCTAGGTAAGGAGGACAGGGCTTCTGCCCACTTCCCCTGGGTGGTTCACCCTCATTGTGCACTGCCCTTGATGACTAAAAGTTCCATTTTATTTTGCTTTTTTAAAAAAGATTTTATTTATTTATTTATTTATTTATTTATTTATTTATTTATTTATTTATTTATTTATTTGACAGAGACACAGCAAAAGAGGGAACGCAAGCAGGGGGAGTGGGAGAGGGAGAGGCAGCCTTCCCGCGGAGCAGGGAGCCCGATGCGGGGCTCGATCCCAGGACCCTGGGATCATGACCTGAGCCAAAGGCAGACGCTTAACGACTGAGCCACCCAGGTACCCCTAAAAGCTGCGTTTTAAACCTGTGATCTGAACTGCTGTCTCCACCCGGCCCAGGTCCAGTCCTGGTTCCACCCGTCCTGACCATCCCAAGGGCCCCTCCACGTGGGCTGTGAAAATTAGTAAAAGGTGACCTCGTTTAGAATGGGGCCGAGCGGAGCTGGGAGGCCACCAGGGGGAGCTCTCACTGCCCGACTCTCCCTTGCGGACCCCGCTGGGACCTTGCCAGTCACTACAGCTTTAGAGCCCCACGGGGAGGAAGAACGGTTTCCTCCCCCCTCCCCCCCCCCGCCACCAACAGCTCAGCCAATGAGAAGCCACTACCCTCCCAGCTCGGGCCTGGCCAATAGGCTTTTTGTTTACAATAGCCCCTTCCAACGCCCCCTTTCCTCCATAAAAGAGTGTTCCGCTCCTTGGTTCCGGGCACTGTTTTGCCCTAACTTGCTCGTCTTGGGATTGCAATTCTCTGCTGTTCCTGAACAAACTTCTCTCTGCTGGTAAAATAGCTGGCAGTTTTGTTTTAGGGTTAACAGGGCCATCAGGATCTGCTGCTTGGACCCCTGGTCCGTGCGCCACGGTGGGGGGGCTGCCCTGCCTTGTCCCCAGGGCTCCACCAACTCTGCACCCTGCTGCTGGAAGCGCGCCAGCCACTCTAGCCGTGAGCACCTCCTGTTTGGGCCTCTCCGACGCCGGCTCCCAATGTGCAGCCAAAGACCCAGAATTTTTAAGAACCTTCCCTCTGTGCTCAGGTCGGGGATGACCGACATTTTCAGGGGAGCTGTGGCTTAGCTAATACTGTTTTCTCTGTACTGAATTTCCGGATTTGGATCATCCTACTGGGGTAAGGTAGGAGAACATCCTTGTGCTCAGGAACACTAAAGGATTTTTAAATCATTTAAGTGAAGAGGCATGATGTCTTGAACCTGATCTCAAGTGGTTCAGGAAAAAATGCAGACACAGACACAGGGACAGAATGCAAACTGCCGGGGAATCTTGATAAACGGAGTTCTCTGTACTTAGCAACTTTCCTCTAAGTTGGAAATTATATTTAAAAATACCCCCAAATGGGGCGCCTGGGTGGCTCAGTTGTTAAGTGTCTGCCTTCAGCTCAGGTCATGATCTCAGGGTCCTGGGGGGTCGAGCCCGGTATTGGGCTCCCTGCTCTGCGGGAAGCCTGCTTCTCCCTCTCCCACTCCCCCTGCTCTCGCTATCTCTGTTCCTGCTCTCCCCCCCTCTCTCTAATAAATAAATAAAATCTTTAAAAAGCATTACCCCCAAATCCCCAGGAGGTTAAACACAAAACCTCCCATGGCCCTTGGTGACAGTGGTACTGGGAGCAAAGCCCCACTGCCCCCCCCCCAGTGGCCCTCCTCATCACGGCCCACCCCACGCTGGCCCTCCCTGCTACAACACGGGGTTGCCCAGGTCCTCCTGGCCAGCTGGACTCCTGTCATGCTCTGGCACCATCTGTCCATGCGGGCGGTGTCCGTCTCTGTCAGTCCTGGTGCGAGGATACTGGTGTGGCCCACTTCCTCTGCCCTTGGGGAGCAGCTGGGGCAGAAGGACACACAGGGCGAGGGGCGCATCAGGCTACTTTGCAGTTTGGAGACGAAGCCAGAATGAGTGGTCCCTGTACCTCCAGGAATGCTGGAACAGGAAAGCGGGCCATGCCAGAGCCAGGTGGGCCGGTCACACCTTTATTAACACCACATTTACCAAATACCTGAACACCACGGGCCCTCACCTCCACGCGCCCCCGCCCCCCACTCCGTCGATCCCGGCTCTCCTCGAGGCGGCTTCCGCTGCAGCGTCAGTGTTCACGCTCTCCTTCGACTGGGGGACGGGAAGAGCTTGATCCCAGGACAGACTTAGCAGAGGGAGTGGTGTTCTGTGAGGCCCCGGGTAATGAGAACCGCGAAGAGACCTGGGAGCCTGGGCGCGACGGGGTCAAGGACTGGGCCCGAGAGCCCCGGTGGGGCGGGATCAAGGACGGAGCCCGGGAGCCCAGGCGGGACGGGGTCAAGGACGCGACCCGGGAGCCCGCGGGCGGTAAGTGCTGGGATGGAACCCATGAACCCGCCTTCGGAGGGGCCTGTGATGGGATCCTGGAGCCCACATGCGATGGGAGCAATGACCCGGAGCCCGCGCGCGACGGGGCCCGGGGAGCCACGCGCGATGGGGCTGTGGAGGGGGCGAAGGACCCGAGACGTGGGGCGGGCGGCGGCGGCGGCTGCCACAGCGGCGGGCCGTCGGGGCCCCGGCGCAGCCAGCCATGCACACGCGCCAGATCCCGCGTGTCCTCGTGCTCGCGCCGCAGCTGTTCACGCTGCTCCAGCAGCTGGCGCCGCGTGTCATGCAGCAGCTGGGCCCAGCGAAGGAGCCGCAGGAGCTCCTGCCGCAGGCGCCCGTTGTCAGCCTTGATGGCCTGCGTGTGCACGATGAGCGCGCGCGCCGCCTCCCGCTCCGCGCGTCGCGCCAGGGACTGCACACGCTGACGCGCCTCGCGCTCGAAGGCCGCCTTGTCCTCCAGGAAGCGCCCTTTCACGCGGTGCAGCAGCTGCGTGTGCTCCACGCGCATGTGCAGCAGCTCGCGCTCCAGCGCCCGGATCCGGGCCAACTGCTCCAGCTGCAGCTCCTGCGGCGGGGGCGCGGGTGAGCGCCGGGGCGCGGCGCGCCCCCGCCCCGCCCGCCGGGCACGCGCTCACTAGCCTTGTAGGGCTGCAGCTCCTGCACCTGCCGCGCCATCCGCGCCGCGCGCGCCTCCATCTCCAGCAGCTGCGCGCGCACTCCGTCCTCGCGCCCGCGGTACAGCGAGGCCAGCTCGGCCCGCTGCCAGTGCAGCTGCGTCAGGTCCACGCGGTGCTGCTCGTCCAGGCGGACGACGGCCTGGGCGCAGCGCTGCGCGCGCGCGCCCACGTAGCTGGCGTAGAGCCGGTTCTCCTCGCGCAAGCGCACCGCCTCGCGCTCCAGGAAGGCGTTCGCCTGCAGCGCCCGGTCCACGCGCGCCTCGCAGGCGTCCAGCTGCTCCGAGAGCAGCTTGTACTCGCGCTGCAGGTACTGCCCGCGCTCCGACAGCGGCGGCTCGGCGCCGTCCCCCGCCGCGCCCGGCCGGCGCCCCGCGCTGGGCCCGCGCTTCCTCTGCGGCGCCATGGGCTGGGGCCTCGGGCGCCGGCACGCGCGCAGGCGCTGCCCCCAGCCCGCCCCTCCAGCCTAGCCCTTCCCTTCCCGCGGCGCGAATATTCTAGCGGGGTGGGACGCGTCCCCGGGCGAGAGGTTGGGGGAGGCGGGATCAGGGGTGTGCGGGTCGGGCAGGGGTCAGGGTATCGTCTCCAACCTTTACTCTTGGGCTCTTCCGGACCCTGGCCGTCCGTCGGGGTGTGCCCACCCTTAGTAACGTTGGCGTTCAGCCTGCGCGGTCTCCGTGGAGACACAACTCAGGCGCCCTCCCCCACGGCCACCCCGTCGTCCCGGCAACGGCCGACTCCCCTCCAGCCCCTCGCCCCGCAGTCGGTGCGTGACGGCCTGCGTGTGCGCCCTGCGGAGGGCCGACCCCGCACCGGCAGGACTTGGGCTTCCAGGGGAGGACGCTGCTCCCGAATCTGACAGAGCCAGCGGCGGTCAGAGCAGCCCCCACGCTCCACGTGCCAGACTTGGGCGCTTCGCCGTCTGTCCCCGAGTGCACTCTCCCCCCGCACCGCGTCGTCTCCCCCATGTGGGGAGAGGGTTCCCCGAGTTCCTGGCCTCCAGCCGTGAGCAAGCCCCGCCCCCGTGCTGTGAAACTTTCCAGCCCTCTGGGGATCCTGGTTTTCCTCGAAGCGCTTCGTGATGCTTGACACTCCTTCTGGGGGCCCCCCCGAGGGAGTTAGGGTTACTGGGAAGATCGTGTCCATTCGGATGCCATCGGTTGTCCACCGTTTCTGTCTTTGGAATTTCCTCTGTGGGGTTCCTAAGCCCACACGTGCGCACCTCTTCAACTCATCCCACTGACCAGCCCTTGGTCAGCTTCCCTTCCTAGCTGGCCGGGATGGCTGGAGAGGAAGGGGTCCACCCGGGGTTTTGCTGTTGCCCTTTTTGCTGTGACATTGTGGAAAGCAACGCCATAAACCCTCCATTTAATTCAGTCTCGGCTAGGATGTGAGCAGTGCTAACATCACCTAGCAGGCCTGGCCTCCCACTCTGTTAGTTGCCCCCCGAAGGAGGTGCCTCTCCATCCCCTTGGACCTGCAACTTAAATCTGCACCTGGTTTGGTCCTGTCATCATATAGTTCATCTTCTGTCAAGGTCTGTCCACGTTTGCCCTAGCGTGGACAGATCTGAGAATTGTCCACTGGCGAGTCTGTGAGGCGCATGCTCTAAGGAAACCCACATCTGTAGGAAGGCTTTTGTGGGAAACCACCTTCGGAGGCTGGTTCCAGAGCTGTGGTAGGTCACTCGTCTCTCTGGACTTGCTCTAGCTGGCTGCGGCTGCATGGAACATGGGGCAGAGCCTCTTCAAATTTACAAGTAAGAATAAAATGACACACACTCAAGACAATGGAGAATCTCCATTTGGTGTTAAAATTTGAAGAAATGTTGGTTCATAAACTTAAACAGCATCTGAATGTCGGCCTTAAATGATGTTTTTTATCTTCTGCTTTTTTGAGGAGGCTCCTCACCCAGCATGGAGCCCAGTGTGGGGCCTGAACTCACGACCCTGAGATCAAGACCTGAGCCGAGATGAAGAGCAGGAAGCTTAACTGACTGAGCCAGCCAGGTGCCTCTATATGGTTTTTGTTTTTAATCTGAAATTGGTGCCTAACTTCTTTTTTTTTTTTATTTGAGAGAGAGAATGAGAGAGAGAGCATGAGAGGGGGAGGATCAGAGGGAGAAGCAGACTCCCTGCCGAGCAGGGAGCCCGATGCGGGACTCGATCCCGGGACTCCAGGATCGTGACCTGAGCCGAAGGCAGTCGCTTAACCAACTGAGCCACCCAGGCACCCAGGTGCCTAACTTCTTACAGAAACTTGTGAGAAGACCAAGTAGAGTCTGGGAACATCACGTGCGACGCTGTACTGGGGGCTTCACAGAGCCCAGTGAGAATATTTGCTGCTTCTCTCCAGGGCCTTTCCAACCGGGGGCTCTCTGCTTCCGGGACAGACCGCTGTGCTCTCCACCTGGCCACCCTCAAGACCTGGCAGGGGCCACTGTCCCCGTTTGCCAGAGGCGGAGGGCCCCTCCCAGGCCGCCCCTGCCCCTCCCGGGCTCCAGCGCCGCAGGCGGCCATCGCAGGGGGACCGGGGATCTGGTTGGCTCCGCCTTTTAATTTCTGGTGCGAGGTGAGGGACTCAGCCGGCAGAGGTTTTTAAGTTGTCTGGGCCTCCCGGATTTCTCGGTGCTTCATCTTCGCTTTACGGCTCACAGATGCCTCCTCCCAGGAGAGGTCTGGCAAGCGCTTTGTTCTCCTCTGCCTCCAGTTTTCTTCCCAGTTCTGCAGTCTCAGCGGAATGGGTCGGAGAGCTGCGTGGGAAGCCCCCGCCCCGCGCCCAGCCCTCGTGCAGCCTGGGGGTGGCCAGACTGCGGCCCAGCCCCACGGGTCCCCAGCCTGGGTCCCGCCTTCACCACCTTCGAGCCCCGCGCAGCCCTGGCTCGGCTCCTTCCCGGCCCCTCCCCACCCGCGCCATCCACTCCCCCTGCGCCTCTGCCCCCCACTCGAGTCGTGGCCTCAGTGTGCTGGGCTTCGCCACAGACTGGTGCGGATTAGGGGAAGGCGGGGACCCTGTTTTCCCTGCTTCCTAGTGCAGGCCTGGGAGCGCAAGGGTGATTCCAGGAGCAGCCCCTCTCCCGGGGAAGAGGAGAGTGCCTGGCCTTGGGGTCAGCTGACATGCACTCCCAGGGGCCTTTCATGTATTGGTGAAGGGGTGTCTCTCTTGTCCCCCAGGTACCACAGCTGCCCACAGAGACAGGACTAACTTCCGAGGGCTCAGATTCAAAGCCAGGCCTTACCTAAGACATTTCTCCCCACACTTGGGGTTCCTTCCCCCCTCCCACTGTGGATAGGGTGGTGGTCTCTGTCCCTCCAGACTCAGACTGGGGAGGGTTTGGGGTGAGGGGTCACTCACCTCCTGGTGGGAACTCTGAACTGGAAAGACACTAGGAGGAAGGAGGTGAGCAGTCTGCTCAGCTTCTGCCAAGGCTGCCCCCTCCCCCACTCCTGTGTGGTCAGGTACTCTCCCAGCTCTCTGCTGGGGGCTTGCCATGGACCCCCAAGGCAGGTTCTTGGGTAGCTGCTCATACTACTCCTCAGGCTACTCAGTACCCACCACACATCCCCCCCCATCCCCCACCCCCTAGTCAGGCTTCTCAAGGGCCCACTCTGAACCCTGTCTTGCATGCCTTCCCTACTCAGCTCCTGAGACTTGGGGTGAGCCCCCTCCCTCAGGAGTAGCCAGTGGGGCTGGGCTATGCTTGACCCTGAGGTGAGCACTTCCAGCGGCCTCTGCTCCCATTTCACAGATGGAGAAACCGAGACACAGGGTGACTTGTCCAAGGACCCCTGGAAGCACTAGGGCTGTGACTTGGACATTGGTGGGCTCGTCCCACAGTGCAGACTACCTCTTGGCAAGTCTTTGCCCATCTCTGCACTGTGACCCAGCCTCCTTTATGGAGCCCCGCCCACAGCAGCCTGAGACCAGCACATGGCTAGTGCCCACGACCCTTCTCCCTGCTAAGGCCAACCGGACCTGGAGAATTGGTGGGTTCAGGGGATACCAAAGACCTGATTGATCTCAGCCAGTTACTGAGCAGTGAGCAGAGGCAGGGACCCTGGGGAGTCTGGTGGTAGGGATGCCCCGGCCTAGTACCTCGTCCCTTGATTAGAAGGACAGCGCTGATGGTGATCACCACGGCCAAGGGGACAAAGGGCAGGAACGTGAGCAAAGTCCAGGAGAGTCTGTCTATCCAGTGTGTCCTCTGGCTGGGGTCAAGACCTGGAGGGCCCAGGCCTGGCTGTTCTCTGGGCCCTGGGTCGGACCCAAATCTGTCCCCTTGCCTATATCCTAGTTTGGGTACTGCCTGCAGACCTCCCCCCTCGCCACCCCGCCCCCGGCCCACATCCCCAGACCAGGGCGCTGGCTCTAGGTTGGGCAGGCCGGCCAGGACCTTCCTCAAGGGCCTCCCCTTCACAGCCCGGTACCTTGGAACCTGTGCCAGACCCACACCAGGTTCACGGTCAGCCCCAGGTGGAATGCCCAGGTCCAGGCCACGATGTGCGTCAGCTCCCACAGCCACGGCTGCCCCTGCAGGAAGCGCTCTGCCCTCCCGGACACATGGTGCAGTGAGGGCCCTGAGCCCTGCCATGGCTTCTTAGGAGCAAAGGCAGGCAGAGCCAGCGGGCGCCCCTGGGTGTGTGCATGGAACACACGAAGGCCAGGTGGGGCTCCACGGTGATGCTGCGGTGGTGACCCAAGGCTCTGGCCTGCTCTGGGTCAGCAGGGTCGCAGCTTCGGGGCAGGCCTTGCTGGAGCCCAGGGCCTGTGGGCTTGGCTCCCTACTCCTCCCTGGAGGGGGTCAAGCCAGGAAGGCTCAGGCTTGGGGTGTGGCCCAGGTCAGCCTGCATGCCGCCCTCTCCAGGGGTGCTCACCTACCTCTGTTTGTGAGGAAGAGAAAGACAAACAGAAGGATGCCCAGTGTCCAGAGCCCCCCGCAGGTCCCGAGGGCGATGCCCACGCCCACCTCTGTAGGCTGGCTCAGAGATGCCCCTGAGAGACAGCTATGAGGGGGAGCCCAGCCAGGGGCACACCTCCTCCAGCACCCTGTGTGGTCAGGGCGCTGACATGACCAATCTCAGACATGACCACATCTACTCCCCCAGCGTGCCTTCCTGGAGTGACCAGGAGTACCTGAGTCCACAGCCCATGTCAGGAGCAGGAGAGAGGAAAGCACGGCTTTAGAGACCCAGGTGCTGGAGGAGTGTACCAGGTCCATTCCAAAGGGTGGAGGGGCTCTGCTGGAGACAGGGCTGGGCAGTGGGGACGCAGACACTGAGGGTGGGGGCGGGGGCCACACACCTGGACTGTGACCCGCAGGAAGGGGCGGGGCCCATGCACAAGGACTGTGACAGTCTGCAGTCTGGGAGGTGGGGACCCTGTGAATTTGGTCTCCTGAGTTACAAGGAGGCCGGTGATGGATGAAGCAGGAGGTTCTGACCATATTGTTTCAACCCGGGTATTTGATCTGCCGCCCCCTCCCTGCCTGCTGGCTGTGGGTCTTCTGGACAAGGCCTCCCTAAACTGCCATGTATCAGCTAAAAATTAAATACACAGTCCACTTTTTAGCTAATGCGTAATAAATGCCCCAGTTGATAATGTGCTCAAAACAAAGCTGGGGGTTACAGCTGCATGCAACAAAATTTATTGTTGGCTATTGGACAGGGTACAGTTGGACTGCGCAGACATACGGCCCCAAGAGGAAACACATAATAGCAGCTTTAAAAACAACTAATGGGGGCGCCTGGGTGGCTCAGCCGGTTAAGCATCTGCCTTTGGCTCAGGTCATGGTCCCAGGGTCCTGGGATCGAGCCCCGCATCGGGCTCCCCGCTCCGTGGGAAGCCTGCTTTTCCCTCTCCCACTCCCCCTGCTTGTGTTCCCTCTCTCGCTGTGTCTGTCTCTGCCAAATAAATAAATAAAATCTTAAAAAAAAATAAAATAAAAACAACTAATGGATGAATCAAATGCCCATTGAAAAATTGACTTGATAATTAAATGTAATGAAGTCCACTTTGCAGAATTCTTTTTTGCTGAAGTTCACTGATATTGGTACAATTTTGCTTATGGGCTACATTCTCAGTGGCAGAGTGGCGGGATCAAGACCTCCTCTAGCTTGGCGTTCGTGAGGGAAGGCACGAGAAAGAGGGGCTGGCCTGCCCACAGTCCCATAGGTGCTCTAGCCGCCTGCCACCCTCAGCAGCTGCACGGGCTGCTCCACACTCTCCCGGGAAGAGGCTCTTGCCGACAGAGCTCGCTAAGGATCCTGCTGCCCCTCTCCTGGCCCATCAGTGGGTCCAAGTCTCATTTCCTGCAGCCTGGCCAACTAGCTACCAGTCCTCCCTCCGTCTCCATCCACGGGCTTTCTCCTTTCCTTTTTCTCCTAGTGGGCGTATTGCTTTTCAATCTGTATTTATATTTATTCTTGAATATATTTGGGGAATGCTCCCACTCATTCAGTAGATGTGCCATTTCAGCTAGGTTATCAAATTGATTGATGTGAGGTTGTTCATAATACACTCTTGTTATCTTTTTAATGTTTGAAGAATCTGTAGGATTGTACTGTCTTTCATTCCTGACATTGGTAATTTCTCTCTGAGTTTTAATCAGTCTACTTAGACTTTATTTATTCAAAGGATCAGCTTTTCATTTTTAAATTTTTTAAATTTATTTTTTTTTAAGATTTTATTTATTTGAGAGGGAGAGCATGAGCAGGGGGAGGGTCAGAGGGAGAGGAAGAAGCAGACTCTCCAATGATCATGATCAAGGAGCCTGACAGGGGCTACGATCCACATGATCGTAGGACCCTGAGATCATGACCTGAGCCTAAGTCAGATGCTTAACCAACTGAGCCACCCGGGCACTCCCAAGAGTCAACTTTTTTTTTTTTTAAAGATTTTATTTATTTATTCATGAGAGACAGAGAGAGAGAAGCAGAGGGAGAAGCAGGCTCCCAAGGAGCAGGGAGCCCGATGCGGGACTCGATCCCAGGACCCTGGGATCATGACCTGA